TGTGCGCGTCTTGTTTTTGTGTCGTCACCTCCCTCTACCCGCTTCCCATCCCGACTTCCATCCTCATCCCGACCCCCCTCTTTTGATCCTGACTTCCCTCTTCCCGACTTCTATTCCCCTCTCTCTTGGCTCTCTCTCTCTATCTCTCTATCTCTCTGTCTCAATGGCCCATCGCCATCTCGTTGCGGATGGCCATCTCGAGAGGAAGAGAAAGAGAGAGAGAGGACAAACAGAGGGCAGATAACACGGTATTAACAGAGAGAGAGAGAGAGAGAGAGAGAGAGAGAGAAAGAGAGAGAGAGGACAACGCACCTCGATCAGTCATCGCCACTGACTTCGCCTCCGCGCGCGCCCCTTCGCCTCCCGTTGCACATTCGAATTTCCGCCTCGCCCCTCCACCCCTTCGCCTCCGCGTGCGCGCCTGCCCCGGTTTGGCCTTCGAATTTCCTCGTCGCCCCTCCGCCCCTTCGCCCAGGCCTGCGCGCCTTCCAATTCCCGCTGCCCGGTTCCCACCCCTTCGCCTCGGCCTGGCGCGCGCACCCCGCTTTGCCCCGCTTCGATTTTCCTTGTCGCCCCTTTCCCCGCCCGTCTCTGCGCGGACCGCGGCCCTGGGCCGGTTCCCCCGCGTCGGCTCGGCCTTCCGCCCCTTGCCCGCTTCGCTTTTCTCCTCTCCGCTGGCCTCGACCCCGCGGCCCCCTGCCTGTGCTTTGTGTCCCAAGCGGTTTCCCTTGGGCCCGCGACCGACCATGTCGCGAGACCCTTTGTTTGCTTTAGTATGTATAGAGATGGGATGCTGGTCCCGGTTGCCAGCATGTGCTGCTCCCCAGCGAATAGATTGGAGCCATTGTCCCCCCCCCCCAAAAAAAAAGGAAAGGCCCAGACATCACTCTGCGGCTTTGGCTCTCAGATCGCCTGTTGCCATGCAGATCCGATCTCCCCTGTCCCTCACTTCCGGGACAAAGAGGGTGTGTGGGAACAAAGGGTGGTGGTACTCCTCTTGGAGAGAAAAAAAAAAAAAAAAAAAAAAAAGATGATTACATTCGTCATCATGATCGTGGCCACGTTCATGATGATCGACATGCACGGGATGCTTCGTCTTTGTTCTCTCCTCTCCCCGGTGAACGTGTTTGCTGTTCTGGGACCCTGTCCCACTTGCACTGTTTAGTGGAGGGAGCTCAACGGTGCGACAGCTGAAACAGTTAAGTCTTTTTTTTTGTTTTTTGTTTTTTTTGGGGGGGGGGAGGGATTGAAAATGAGAAATGCATTTATATATGGCGCGGATACAATTGTTCTCTCTTTTTCCGCTTTGCCACAATTGGAGCGGCATACGGGCACTTCCTTCCACAGCCGAAAATGCACAGTTGGCTGCTCGGCCTTTTGGCTAAAAATAGATAAAGTGCACTGTATCTGTTCTGATCAGTTTAATATCTGATCACGTGGTCCATCTGGCCACAACGATATTAAATTACTAAATAATTTTTGTGGGCCAAGGAGGGGTCATAGGGGTAAGCTTGCTTACTCGACCCCTCCAGTGTTGCCTCTGTATTGCGCTGCAGCAGAGTGCAGCGCAGGCCTTTTAAAAGAGTTTTAATTTTCTTTTTCTAAAAAAAAAAAAAAAGCCCAGTTGGGATGGTTGCCAAAATCCCCTGATACGGAAATGGCAAAGGGAAGGAGGCTCGTACAGTTTTTTTTTGGTCTCCAGGAAAAATGCCTTTTGGGGGGAAGGGGGAACAAGGGAGGGTAGGTGAGATGGTCTGTCTAGAAAAAAAGGAAGGAGACAGCTAACTCAACGGAAAGTCAGGAGGGTGGGGGGGGGTGGGGGGTTGGGTAGTATTTGAAAGAAAGGATTGACTTCTGCATAACGGTTGTGTTGGAAGCAAAAGAGACGATACTAGGTAGTCTCTATTGCCTTTTTTCTACCTTTTTCTTAATTACGTAAAAAAAGACCGCGAGATCAGTTGGAGTGCGTGCATCGCCGAGGTAACCTACAGTCACACACGCTTGAAAACGAAATGTCGACCTAGCGCAATGGAGCTAGTGGGACATGGTCCCGGTTTTGATGTAGAAATTGCACATTGTGCGTTTTTTTTTTTGTTTTTTTTTTAATATTGTGCGTTTTCGCTGTGATCAGCGTTCATGTAAGGGACGCCGGGGCAGGTTCCCGGGGACCGGACCTTGTCCCACTAGCTCCGTTGAGCTGCAGGAGGTCAACCGTTACGTTGGGCTTTCGACGCTGTGTGACTGTACACGACGACAACGGAGATGCACGTCGTCCAAGTCATTTAGCAGTCCGTTTTTAATTAAAAAAAGGCAATAGAGACTATCTTTGCTTTTGGTTACAACAGAAAGCTCGTTTCTCTCGAATACTACTCCCCCTACCCTCGCCACTTTCCGTTGAGCTAGCTGTCTCCTTTTTTCGAGACAGCTAGCTCAACGACCCTCTTGTTCCCCCGAAGGGCGTTTTTTTAGAGAAACTGTACGAGCCTCCTTCCTTTTGCCATTTTGTACCGGGACGGGATTCTGGCAACTCTTCATTTTCTGGTGTGGAATGGAAGTGCCTGTATGCCACTCCAATTGTGAAAAAAGAAAAAACCGAACAATTGTATTCGCGCCATTTATAAATGCATTTCTCATTTGAAAGTGAATTAGAATGATTTTTTTTAGCTGTCGCGCCGTTGAGCTGCCTCAACTAAAGGGTGCAAGTGGGAAGAACCCGGCTTTGTAATATAGATTTTTCCCTTTCATGTAGAAAAAAAAAAAGAGTAAATTGTACTTCTGTTTGTTGAACTTTGTTGGACTAAAAATAAAAAGTAAAAATAAGAAGTTATGTTCTTTTTCCTCTTGTGACAAAACATTCCTTGCGCGACTTTTTTTTGCTTTATTTTGCCATGCGACGTCCCTCGCTAGCTCCGTTGGCGGGTCATCTTGTACTCTATACATCTATATATCTATATATTTGACGATATATATGTATACGCAAGAGGTTCTGAACAGGGGGAGTTAAAAACGAATTGAGTTTTTTTTTTTTTTCCTTGTTTTCTTTCTGTTTTTTCGCTTTGGCGCTCTGATATCATGTGACGATATATAGATAATATATGTCGTCAAACAGAACTGCCTACGGGTAAACCGTAGGCAGAGAGGGAGACGAGGACAAGAAACGAGGGGCTGTGACAAACTGTTTCGGCGGAGTTTCAGGGAACTCTCTCCGACTGATCAGGAGGCGGAACCCTCAACAGTCTGCAGAATCCCCTAGTTGATACCACTGTAAGTGATAATCCACCTTAACCCCTACAGGTTATGGAGGAAGGAAGAGGACCTAATCAACGGCGACGTGATCAGGAGTGCGCGTGTTTGTCCTCACGCGTAAGCTCGTCATGCTCGTTACCGCTGTTTGAAGGTGTGTGTGTGTGTGTGTGTGTGTGTGTGTGTGTGTGTGTGTGTGTGTGTGAGAGAGAGAGAGAGAGAGACCGATTTGGATTATCAGAACAATGGTATCATTGGTGAGCGAGCGAGCGAGAGAGAGAGAGAGAGAGAGAGAGACACTTGCAATAATGGACAACACGTGTGAGGTTTTACTTTCGCAGTATACACGTCCTGTCCATGGCATGCGACAACTATCGCAACTACCCTTCTACCTCACTGCTCAGGTAATCCTTTCAGCCATCATCCCTGAATTTATACCCTATCATCCTTATCCTTCCCACCTGCTTGTCCTCAATCCCTGCAGTGTCCTCATCATCGTTGCCTCTGGTTTCTCCGTAGTCACGCTCTGTAAAGCCCTTGTCATGGTTGGTTTCCCGTGGTCGTCAATTTTTCTGCATATAACATCTTCCTCCTGCGTACGCTCCTATGGTACAGTCTATTGTGTTTCTATTCCTCTCTCTGTGTCGGAATTCCGTACTCATTCAGTTTATCTCCCTTTCAGCCGTATTTCTGTCGAAAAATAATGTTGAACAATTGTTTATATCTGTCTTGTCTTTTTTGGCTTTCTTCTGGCTTTGTATGTTTCTTTGATTCTCGGGTGGTCATGGGTTTCATCATTATTTTTCAGGTGAGTACTTTCATCTTCCCGTCGCCTGTTTGTGATATGTTTGCTCCGGTTTTCAGTTCGATTCATTTCTCCGTATGTTGGGAAATCAATACGGTCATTCTTGCGTCATTATATCTGTATGTCGCCGATCTTTTTTATTTGATTTTTAGTTTGCGCGTTCCCTTTTCTTTTTCTTTTTCTTTTTCCTTTATCTTTTATCTTTTATCTTTTTGCTTTTTTTCTTTCCCTGATTTTATATCATTTTCCGATTGGTGTTTCTTCTGCTTCCAGATACTCTCGGAATTTCCTCCGGACTTCAGTGTCTTTGCAATTGCTGATGAATGCCAAAATCGTCGTGTGGGTTATCCTCTATGGGTAGTTCATCAGTCGGAGTTCCCTTCAAAACAGCTTCATTACCGTGGTCAGGTCTGCGACATCATAGGTGTTCGCTACCATTCCGTGAAACGTGCCTATCATCGTCAGTATCTTTGTTTTCTCGGAACCCGCACTCCTGAAGTGACGCAATGTCCTCTGTGAGAGAGAGAGAGAGAGAGAGAGAGAGAGAGAGACCGATTTGGAGTATCAGAACAATGGTATCATTGGAGAGAGACTCTGAGAGAGAGAGAGAGAGAGAGAGAGAGAGAGAGAGAGAGAGAGAGAGAGAGAGAGAGAGAGAGAGAGAGAGAGAGAGAGAGAGNAGAGAGAGAGAGAGAGAGAGAGAGAGAGAGAGAGAGAGAGGGAGAGAGAGAGAGAGAGAGAGGCCGATTTGGAATATCAGAACAAACTTCAACAAAGGTATCATTGAATTCTGTGGGTGAACATGAACAGAATGATGGTCAGGTGCACGCAGAAAAGTTGTAGTGTGAGTATGCGCTGATTGGGCCCTGGCGGGAGCAACAAAGCAGGATGTCAAATGGAAGCTTAAAAAAAAAATTAATGTGGAAGTATTGTTTTCTGCCTGTCTGTGCAGGCCTGAGGGCGCCTACGTTATAGGAATTTCTCTTGGTGGTGTCAGGAGAAGAATTGCTGGCAATCATCATGGTGTTTTCCCGTTTCCGGCAGCCTGGCTGCGGGCCTCCCTCCAAGTGTTGGCGCTGGATCGGCATCCTTGCTGTGGTGCTTTTCTTCGGTCAATCTGTCTGGCAAGCTTTTCGCTATGGCCGACTTGTTGGACAGAAGGAGATGGGGGGCATATACCCCTCTGGTAATTACCAATTTCGCTATGGCCAACTTGGTGAACATAAGGAGCCGGGGGCCGTATACCGCGCCGGGAATAATACATCCCCTGTAACACCGATTCAAAACAATGCCATACCAAACAACGGCTGCGACGAAGAACACTATATATGTTTGAAGAAAGGTCATGAGTTCGAATCGGTGCTAAACGGGCACCCATCTGCGTACAATCGCGAGGAGACGTTGGAAGCAGTGGCAAGAGACGATGTTGAACGGCGAGGGATTCAGGCGCGGGGCGATCCTTGGGATGCAGGGGGCAAAAATCTCCCCCACACTCTCAACACTTGGGAGCCTTTTTACCATTGCCCTTTCGAGGAGCGTGTGGGTCCGTTCGGCGACGGCGGGAAGTGGATGTGCAGGGTCCGTGATTACGCGGGCCCGGCGTGTGTCGCCTACTCTTTTGGATGCAATGGTGACGTAAGGTGGGAGCGCGATCTTGTCCGCATCACTGGCTGCGACGTGCACATTTACGACCCTACCCCTTGGGTGGTCAGCACGATGACGTACGCACCCCGAGAAACCGAGGAGCAAACCAAAACGCTCGCGGCCTCGCCGCGGTTTCCTTATCGCATGCCTTACGGGGTTAAGTATCACGGTTGGGGGTTGTTCGAGTCCTCCAACGAGCTGGCAAGGTCTGTGGTCAAGCGCCTGAATCCGACTGCGGATGGGGGAACCTTGGGTGAGATTGTCAACAAAACCGGTGGCCCTGTTCCGCAGATCGTCAAGGTCGACATCGAAGGGTCCGAGTGGTTTCTTAACTTCACCGCAGATGCCGCCACGTGGCAGCAAGTGCATATGTTCATGGTTGAGATCCACTTGAAAGATGTTGGGGCTGGATTTTACAAGGGCAGTCTCTCCGAGTGGGAATACGTCCGTGACTGGATCCATCAGATCGAAGGCCTTGACTTTAGAATGTACCACAAGGAAGTGAACGTCTATCAGGGCGACGGCAGCTGCTGGGAGATTGCCTTCGTGAACATGCGCTTCTTTTGAGATCCGGAGGGCATGTGCACGCTCTCACACTACCGGGAGCAGGACAACTTTTTTTCTTCTTTTCTCTGGCTGCATCCGCCCGCGTTTGTCAGCCGCATGCGTGCGTCGAAGAAAACTACCACAAGGAAGTGAACGTCTATCAGGGCGACGGCAGCTGCTGGGAGCTTGCCTTCGTGAACGGAGGGCGTGTGTGCGCTCTCACACTACCGGGAATAGGAGGAGTTTTTTTCTTCTTTCTCTGGCTGCATCCGTCCGTGTTTGTCAGCCGCATGCATGCGTCGAAGAAAACTACCACAAGGAAGTGAACGTCTATCAGGGCGATGGCAGCTGCTGGGAGCTTGCCTTCCTGAACATGTGCTTCTTTTGAGATCCGGAGGGCGTGTGCGCGCTCTCACACTACCGGGAATAGGATGGCTTTTTTTCTTCTTTTCTCTGGCTGCATCCGTGTGCATTTGTCAGCCGCATGCATTCAAGCGTCGAAGAAAAGTAAGAAAAAGCATCTACAAGTTCTACAACCTACCGAGGTATACCTTGCTCGCTGTGTTGTTGTTATTTCAAGGAATGTTTTATTTTCGATTCTGTGCAGAGGGAGCTTGCATCTGTGAGCTTGCACCTTGGTTGACATCTCAGGGGTGGGCTTTTTTTTTTTTTTTTTTTTTTTTTTTTTTTTTTNTTTTTTTTTTTTTTTTTTTTTTTTTTTTTTTTTTGAAGCCTAGGAGTGATGGTAGGTAGGTAGTGAAGGTGAAAGAATTTGAAAGATGATAAAAAATTTGAGAGAAGAATATATTAGCATAGTTGAAAAGAAAAGAAAAGAAAAGAGAAGAAAAAAAGGGTGAAACTTATTTTTTATTTAAATTTGGTAAAGAATTTCGATGTGACCTTGAGGCAAAAGTTTGGTCAGTTTATTTTTCTGCATAACGTAGTTTTTTTCGGGTTTTTTTCAAGTTTTTTTTTTCTGGGAACATAGTATTTTTTCAGATTTTTTCATTTTTTTTCTGGGGAAGGTCAGCCTCGATACAGTGGGTGGGTTTCCTGCTGCAGCATGTCAGTTTAGGAAACAGCCGACGCATGCAAGGACCTGCATGCAATTTTGCGGCTAAGCTTAGGAGGGTACCCTTGTGCGCTCGATCTGTATGCCCTTACAGGGTGGGAAAGTGATTTCAGCGGCTGCATTATCGCAGCATTCGTGGGCATCTTTCAGTCTAGGTACAGCGATAAATAATCACCGTGCACGTGCCGTCTTTACCCGAATAAAACGCACAGCATTATCGCAGTATTGTGGGCAACTTTCCGTCTAGGTACAGCGATAAACAATCGCCGTACATTCTATTCAGGTGAACGAGGTAGTTCAGTTTCTGGCTGCAAACTCTGCGAGCTGAGGACAAAGTACACAAGACAAAAAGGAAAGAAAAAAAGGCAGCCAGCCTCTGCCCTGCCCTTGGAAAGGAGGAGTAGAGGGCTGACCATTTTGGTGGCCATTGTTTGCAGTTTTCACAGTATTGCAAAGCATAAGGTCCCCGGCAAGGTTGGATAAAGGGCCTGCGTCCGCTGGAAAAGCGCTCAGCCCGGTTGTGACTGTCTGCGTGCGCCCAAAGAGAAGGCAGGCCCTGAAAGTTGTCGCTGCCTCCAGAATTAAGGGCTGCATGGGTTGGTTGAGGGTATGGTTGGTTGCTGCATCCAGCATTCGATCGATATAATACCCGATCGGTCGCAGAAGACAGGGCCCGCACATATGCTGAGGCCCTGGACCCTTACTGGAGCCCCAGGCAGTGGCAGGCACTAATGGAATGGCCCAGCGGCGTAGCTACTGGGACACAGACTGCACAGTTCTGAAGCTGCTACGGCCAGCAAGCATCTGCACAAAGGGAAGACTTATTGCAGCCAGGCACTTCCGCATTCTCGCCACTGGCTGACTGGCGTGAGCGCAACTGGATTGTACGCTTCAGCGCATGCTCGCTGGAAGAGAGCCAGGGGTGAGAGGGCGCTGACGGGGTGCTCCAGAAGCTGTTGGGCATAGCAAGGCAATTTAAACTCTTTTGCGTATGATTATAACATCTGCTGACATACTTCACAGTTGGGCAGTACCTTCCTTAGGTGTCAAATGTGATGCCGTAGCTGGTCGTTTAAATCAGACTTCCATCTTTATCAAACGAGAAGGCAGCCATAGCCACTGGCAGACTGCTGTGTGTAAGGGCGAGGGGGGGGGGGGTTGAGCGGTGGCCCTGGGACAGGGTGCTGAAGCGAGGGAGTTAGACGGGCAAGGTGTGACGGGAGATGGCACATACCCGATGATGGTGGGCATGGTCGGTCAAGAGGAAGTCTTCATTCGTCACCTCGCAGCTGCACTCCGCGAAGACCTGTCGTCATCATAGTTTGATAGGTAGTCTAGGTGCTGTCTGAAATCGTTGTCTGGGTGCCGAGCGCAAGCGCACTGTTGGAAACAAGGGTGGTGGAGGCGAGATGATGGCTTACGTTGCCATTTGAGTTTGAATCCTTGCTTTGCTCTTATTTGGTATATATCTCGGTACGTTCTATTTTCAGTATGAGCACATGACTTTCTGACTTTCAGTGGGATCATGATGCAATTTGGTTTCTGTACTTTGCATTGCTTCAGTTTCCTTGCAGTATTTCAGGCACGTCCGGATTGAACGACCTGACAGAAGCGGGGAGAGAGGGGAGGGGGGGGGGGAGGAGTGTGGTAGCTGTCCGGTGTCATCTTGTCTCTTGCTTGTAGTACAAATATTCGTTGGAGGGCTACTCACACATGTGCTGTCTTGACCGTATCTGACTGCGAGGTCAGGGAAGATTCAGTCGTCTATGTCCTGGTGTGAGTAAGCTGTGAATTGGCAATGTGCGACATGTAAGTGCGCCGCTTTTGTGTGTGCAGAACGATGATGTTATCGTCTGGTCCATGCACTGCCAGGTCATTGATGTCTTATCGGCGTAATCGCCACTGCGGCCATGTAAAGCGGCATCTCAGTTTTATTCAGCGCTGGCCGGCGAATGGGATAGTTTAACCCACGCGTTGCAGGACTACTTACTACCTTACCTTTCCTTTCCTATGGAATGCGTGGACCTCCCATGTTCGGGTCAGTACCCTTTTTTTGTTTTTTTTCATTTTTTCCCAGCCCCCGAATACGTGTTTTAAGTTCTAACCAGTGCAGTTGTTTCACTTTTTTTTTTTTTTTTGTACGGTGATGAGGAGCGTGCATGCACGAGAAGTGCTCTTTTACCCACAGCGAAGGATTGCGGAGTTCATGACAGAGATGGATCGTGGAGGTCGTGAGGAAGATGTAAACAGGTGGGGAAGGCAAGTGTAAGTGTGATGAGGAGGAGGAAATAGGGGATTATCAAATGTGCATGCCAGCTGAGATGATCTTAACTATAATTATGATGATGATGATGATGATGATGATGTTTAACATTAATGAAACAAGGGGAAAGGCATCAATCCATTTGTTCATAGAGGGCGGGTGCACTTGGACTGGAATTTGAGAGACGAGGTTCCTGTGTTGTCGATCTTGCAGCAGTTCCGTTTCCAGATACCGAGTTGGAAAGTTGATGCGCGACTTTAACTTGCTAATGCTTTGCCTGCAGCACATGTAGAAAAAGGTGCCTCGGCAAGTTCTTTTTTTTTTTTTTTCTTTTTTTTTTTTTGCCTACTCAGGACGCGAAGTGGATGCAGTATATTTTTTTTGTATTGTTGCAACTCTTTTTCAGGACACTGTGACTTCGTCTTGCAGAATTTTGATGCATAAATAGAAAAGAGATTTTTGTTTTTTTTTAATCCCTGTGGGAGGAACAAGCCCTCGCAGGGCCCTTATCAGACATGCACACATGTTCTGGGCTGTGGCCCCCAGCAAGCCCTGTGCCCACCCTAAGTGAAGGTGGGCCTGAATATTCACAAGAGGGCTAAGTTTGACAATTTTCCATATCTGGGTACTCAGACAGTTGCAGGACACCAGTCGGTTACAGGGAAACGTGAGCCTTCAGGCTCTTTCCAGAAACATGGGCTGCGCTGCACAGTTGAGCTGAGCCCAGGGCCGGGTGGTTGCGCCCTGGGCACACGCATTGTGAGGCCGACACATCACGCAGTGGCCGCGGATGAATGAGAAAGCAGTACGGTTGTCACACGACTCCCACAAGCCAATGAGAATGCGGCAAACAGTTGTGCCTGGACGTCGGCCAGGATGAGCCCAACCGAAAAGGGCCCAGGTGCTTAACTGTAGAATTGGTCCTGGGCACAGACACCGGGGCCCGACTGGAAGCTACTGGAAACTTCTCCAGCCAGGCCCAGGGGCTACACTTTCCATAAAGGAAAGTGAGCTGCACAGCTGAGGGCATTCTGGCCTAGGCAGGCAATGCAGACACGCTGGCGTGTTGCTGCGCAAGTGTCTGCATGTGCGTTGCTGGCTGGGGCCTATGAATCCCCCGTGGTCATGACCGCAGGGTCAATCTCGGTCCGCGGTCTGGATCCCGACCACTGAGGTCGGCTGCGGGCGGGGGGCCGTGGTCCTGATTTTGTAATATTTTTTTTTCCTACTAAATAAATACCAAACAAAAAAATAAAAAATATGGGGTTGTAGGGTTTGAAAATACCTACAACCCCCCTTTTTTTTTTGGATTATGAAGTGTTTTTCAATTAAAAAAAAATAGAAAACAAAAAATTAAGTATTTTAATAAAAAAGAAACGTAATAAAAAAGTAGAATTTTTAATTTTTCATCTGTGTGTGTGTGTGTGTGTGTGTGTGTGTGTGTGTGTGTGTGAGCGGGGGAAGGGAGACCCCTTCCCCACAAATCAATCAATCAATCAATCAATCAATCAAAAAAAAAGAAAAAGCAAGCAAAACAACCCCTGCCCGCGCGCCCGTGTGTGTGTGTGTGTGTGTGTGTGTGTGTGCGCGCGCGGGGGAAGGGCGACTCCTTCCCCACCAATCAATCAATCAATCAATCAATCAATCAATCAACCAACCAGTCAACCAATTAGGAAAACAAAAAAAAGTAAAATCACACAACAGCGGGCTTTTCAACAGAAAGGAAAAAAAAAAAAAGGGGGGTCCACAATTTTTTTTCTCCCCCCTCTAAACCCCCCTGTTTTTCGAGTTGTCCAATTTTTTTCTTTATGGGTGGGTGGGGCCCGGGTCGCGCCCCGGGAATCCCGACCCCAACTTTGATCACCCCTCCCCCCCTGCCCGCAGCGGGCCTTCCCCGACCGCGGGACGCGGTCATGGCCGCGGTGACCGCGGCCGCTGGGGATACATAGGCTGGGGCGCACGTGGGCGCTATGAGGTGAGAGGGGCGGTGCAGGGAAGCGGGCGCACGGCAGCCATAGCCCAGCTGCAGGGGCACAATGCGGGTGAGATGGGCGATGTGGTCTTCGGGTTGGAGGCGCATGAGGTGTGGTGTCCAAGGGGTGAAAAAGGGGAGGAGAGAGAAGGTACCTGGTGTATGCTGGTGGTCGTCATTGGTGTTGACATCACGTACATTGGTCTTTGACTTCAGAGTGATCCAGTTGCATGAACGTAGATAGGCTAGTTAGGCAGAGTCGAGTAGGCTGGGCGCTGAGCGCCAGACAGTCGTGGCGACATTGGATACAGTGTTCGTGTGACCAGAGAGTGTTGGCAATGGCACTCGAGTTCTTTGTATTGCTCTTATTTGGATGGTATCTTGGTGCATTAAATTTTGAGCTCTCTGCTTTTTGTACATAACTATCTGGACTACTTTGTGATTTTGCAACTTGATTTTCTGTCTATCGCTCTCGCTCATATTCGTTGCAATTCGGTATCGGAGCTGGTTCGAGATCGCCATTACCTGGTGCTGGCGACATTGTTACTTGTTGCGCCGATGATGCTTCTACGCAGTAAGGATACATCGGCGCTGGCATGAACAGCCACTCCCGGGGAGAGGGGAGTTAGCCGGAAGGATGTGGCACATCGTGGGAGCTGTGGCGACAGCGGGTGCATGTGTGATGATGAGAGCATGCTGATGTGGCATTTTGGCTGAGGTGGCACTGCATTGTGTTGTGGGTGGTGCCAAGGCTATGACCGGTCATCAAAATGCACGTTGGCTCAATTGGTGAGAAATATGTGGTTGGGGCAGCTATCTTCGGGTACGTTGTTCAGTTACCTTATCTTCCCTCTCAATCTTTTCTTACCGCGAGGAAGTGAGTCCAACTTGAGTGTCCTCTTTTGAGTAAGGAGTCGTGAGCGCCCTACCTTGAGAGTTGACATTCTTCCTGGTGGCGCATCTGGCACAGGCAGAAGAGGGCAGTGCTTCTGAAGGACCCCTGGTTGAAGCACGGGTCATGGTCACCATGCCAACCCATGGAAGTAGTACATGCACGCCATGCTACTTTGTCCTTGAGCTCTTTACTGCGCCAATAGAGGGAACGTGGACTGACCACTCGTCTGCAAGATGCTCACCAGATCACTGTTCTGAATACTGGCTGTTATCGTCGTCTTGTCTGTGACGTTAAATACTTCCTGAGGACCTTGGGGGCTGTCCTTAAACTGCCTCTTGACCAGCCAGATCAGTCGGATGGAAGGCTCGTTGCACGCGAGGATAAACAAAGAGCAGTGCTGGTCATAAGGGAGTTCCTGGGCACAGGGGTGGGCTGTTAATGCACACCTTAGACACCGCGTCTTGATGATGCGGACAGGCACGTTGGATACAAGGGCACTAGTGCAGACAATGTCTGCCTAGCTGATGAGTGGACCAGGCAGTGGGGGATCAGTAGAAAGAAGGGTGACACGCCAGGAGTTCCTTAGGATCCCAATCGTGCACTGAGCTTTAACACCTCAGGGAGAGATGGCTATACGATAAGTAGTAGCTGAATGTTTGCACAGAGAGAGAGAGAGAAGTGGCAGCAGCAGCCCAGCAAACGCTTGCAGCAGTGACAGCCACTGCAGCAGCTATGGCTACTTCTGCTGCTTCCTTTAGCCAGCAGACATTAGGCACGCCAACCAGTTTGCAGCTATGTGACACCCGCGGCCTAGGCCGCGGGCAATTCGGTCGTCACGACTGGAAAAGTTGGCTGCAGCCATGGCCGCCAGGCCTAGTTTGCGGCCCAATTTTTTGTAGTTTTTTTGGGGGGGTTAAAAAATAAGTTAAAAAAATATATGGGGTTGCACGGTTTTGAAAGCCCTACAGCCCCTTTTTTTTTTTTTTTTTGAATTTAACTCCATTTACGATTTGTAAGAAATGAAAAACGAAGATCGGTTAAACAGTGTATACGGCCGTATGAATACGGCCCGTCTGTATGTACGGGCCCCCCGACGCTCGTACGGACTTTGGGCCCTCCGTGCGTGGCCTTCCAGGTAGGTGTTGAGGGGGTCGATGGGCTGGGGGGGGGGTTGGGTGTCAGGGGGAACCCCCCATTCAAAAAAACAAAAAAAAAAAAGATTTTTTTTTTGGTTCCGGTGGTAAACATAAAAATAAAAATTGATTGATTGATTAATTGGTTGATTGATTCATTGATTGATTGAATGATTGATTGGTTGATTGGTTGATTGATTGATTGATTGATTGGTTGATTGATTGATTGATTGATTGATTGACTTATTGATTGACTGATTGATATAAGGTGGGGGGGGTCGCCTCCCCCCCATGAGTACACACACACACACACACACAAAAAAAAAAAAAAAAA